ACAGAGAGTGCTTAGGGAAGATCTGTCTGACAAGGAGATGTTTGAGTAGAGATCCAAGGTGAAGGAGTGATCCAGGTCGGTATCCAGAGGAAGAGAATTCCAAGCAGAGGCAGCCAAGGCACAGAATGCTGAGTATGTTCAAGCAATAGAAGGAGGGTCAAGAGTGAGTGGTCAGAGGTAGGAGAGGAGTCCATAAAAGGGGGTTTGGACTTTATTCTAAATGTACTAGGAAGCCATTGAGAGATTTTAAACAAGGAAATGACTTGATTTGATTTTGGCTATTAAAAGTAGCCATGGTTATTCTGTATAGAATATGCAGTAAGCATGCACAGGCAGAAATAAGGAGAATAGTATGGAGTCTTTTGTAGTCCGTATTAAAGCTGGCTTGAACTGAAAATCAGTGGTGGAGATGATGAGAAGTGATGAGAGTCTGGGTAATTTTTTGAAGGTACAGCTGACAGATTTATTGGTGATGTGAGAGACAGGAGTCAAGAAGGATTCCAAGGGCTTTTGGTCTAAGTATTAGTAGAATTACTATTTCCTGAAATGGGAAAATCAGCGGTTTGTTTTTGTACATATTAAATACAGGATTCTTTTTAGATAACCAAGGGGAGATGTTGGGCAGATGGTTGAATAATTGAGTTATGTTCAGGTATGAGCTCTGGGTTAGAGATAGAAATATGGGAGTTGGCAGTCAGTATATGGGATTAAAAGTAAAAGATCTTATTTAGGAGAGCAGTTTGAGGTTCACAGTAAAATTGAGCAGAAAATAGAATTTCCATTCCTTGCCCTCACACCTACATAATCTTACCCATTATGAACATCTTTCACCAAAGTGGTACATTAGTTATAATCGATGAATCTACATTGACACATTATTATCATCCAAAGTCCTTAGTGTACATTAGGGTTCACTTTTTGTGTTGTATATTCTGTGGGTTTTGACAACTGTATAAAAGTCATGTATCCACTCTTACAGTATTTCTTATAAAAGTTTTACTGCCCTAAAATTCATCTGTAATTTGCCTCTTCTCTAACCACTGGCAGTCGCTGATCTTTTCACTCTCTTTATAGTTTTGCCTTTTCCATAATGTCATCTAGTTGGACACATATACAGTATGTAGACTTTTTGGGTTGGGTTCTTTCATTTAGTAATATTCATTTAAGATTTCCTCATGTCTTTTCATGGTTTTATAGCTCATTTCTTTATTTTATTTATTTATTTCTAGAGAGAAGGGAAGGGAGGGAGAAAAGGAGAGAAGCATCACTGTACAGTAGATTATCAGCAGTTTCATATGGTTCACCCTAATAGTCTTAAAGCTTAATTGGTTTGTGTGTCTTGTTTTCCTCAAGGGCAGGGGCCAGAACATGTATGTCTTATAATTCCTTCCAAGACCTGGAACTGACTGGCCAAATCAAAATTACTTAATAAAGTTCTGTTGACCAATGAATTTGAGCTGTTCTCAGAGCAGTTAGCAATTGTGATCCATCAAGTCTTACTGTGTTGATCTCTAAGGTCAACTGTGTTCTGAAATGCATTGGGTTTCTCCATCCTCCATGAGTGACTTGCATCATTGCCACATTTACCTTCTTCTTAGGAATCCTTGCTGACTCCTTGGCTACTCTTGATCCTCCTAGAGTGTTTTGTGTAGTCTGCAGATAATGGGATGCCTGTGTCCTGTGAAGTTTTTTGAGCAAGGAAGAATAGGCTAGCTGAGGGCCCAGAGGTCCTTCAGACTCTAAGTGTGTGCAGCAGAGTTGTTAGCCTACGAATTTGTAGTTGATTCTGTGGATCCAGACTTTTTAAATTTATTTTTAGGGAGAGGGAAAGAGAGGAAGAGAAAAATCAATGTGCAAGAGAAACATTGATTGGTTGCCTCTTGTGTGCCCCCAGCTATGAACCTGGCCCCACAACTCAGGCATGTGCCCTGACCGGGAATTGAACTGGTGACCCCCCAGTTTGCAGGCCCATGCTCAATCCAATGGACCACACCAGCCAGGGTACATCCCAGACTTTTAAAAGGCACTAACCAGTACAAGAAAATTTAAGGTTTGTCGTGAGGTTGCCAACTTTTTATTTTGCCAAATAAAGGTATTTAAAATAAGTATAGTTACGTACTTTTTATAGTTAATGGTCATGATATGATATTCAAAACATACAGGAGGATATGCATTGAATAAATTAACTTTCATACTTCCTTTCCAGTTTCTTAACTATCCAGTTCCCCTCCCCAGAAGCAAACTGGGTTGCTTGATCTTCCTTCCAGAGGTAACCCAGGCATTTCAAAACAAGTATGAATGCATTCGCTCTCTCCATTCCTCCAAACAAATGGTAGTATAGGGCCTGGCTGGGTAGCTCAGTTGGCTAGAGAGCTGTCCCAATATGCCAGGGTTGCAGGTTCAATTCCCCCTGGTTGGGGCACATACAAGAACCAACCAATGAATGCATGAGTAAGTGGAATAACAAATTGATGTCTCTTCTTTTTCTTTCTAAAATCAGTAATTAAAAATTTAAAAAAATGGTGTGTTCAATAGCATTTTGCATCTTGAGTTGATTTTTTCCTCCACTTGTCTTAGAAATCTTTAAAAATCAGTACATAGAGAGCTGCCTCATTCTTTTTAATGGCTGCATGCTATTAGTAAGGATATGAAAAACATTTACCACTGTTTTAATTAAAAATATATTTAAGCACCAAGAAGTTAGAAAGAATGTGATTTTTGTATATAGAAAAGTTCTATAAATTAAATAAATTTAATTTTGTGAAAAATTGATTTTATGAGTTGGTCCAACAGCCTGTGTTTGAAAATTATTGCTAGAGATAGTAAACCATTACAGAAAGGGCTTTGAATGGGAATGTGTTAAGGCAGGTTGTATTATTTTAGGGAGGCTTAGTAGTCTCTGGTAGGCCAAATGAGTGATAGGGCAAGAGAAATATAATTGAGATATCTATGTCCTCCACATTTTACACTACACAGGGGAAACCTCTTTTGTCTCCCACAGTTGTACTACTCAGCTCATCAGATCTTGCAATTAGCCGATCTGCTGTCAAGACATCTTGTATTTATAGCAGCTTTATGCCAGTTGGATTAGAGTAGGGAGACTAGTCTCAGGGCTGTTTAATTCCTTCAGTTAGTATTTTTTTAGCAGTTAATATATGCATGGTACCATAAGGAATTTTGAAAAGCATACCCGATCAGTCCCCTGTGAGAACTACCCTCATGAAGAGATACAGGCCTAAACTTGGAGAGTGACTGAAATTGGAATGGGTAGCTGGGTTTTTTTTTTTAAAGGCTTGGGATTGGAGAATTGACACGACGCAAGACCTTTGGGAACAACAGTAAGAGTGGAATTCCTATGGTGAACCTTTATGGAAACCTTAATATTTGCAGCCTACTGTGATAGATTAACATCAAGCAAATTGCCTTAGACTATACTAGTGTAGGATTGAGGAAGACACAGTATATAGACACAAGCAGCGGGCCTGTTTATTTAGGAAAGCACATATTTATTAGCACAGTGGGTACTAGGTGCTAGATACAAGAAAAGAAGAAAATAGTGCAAATCCAGGGTGAAAGGAGAAAATATTGGTAGAACCTCAACTTCGTTAATCTAGAATAGCAGTCTGATTAATTTACAGGAACATTTGCGTGCAATAACTATATTTCTTTATTTTTAGCCATTTATTTTTGGAATGAGCAGTAGACTTAATATGGTTGAAAACTGAAAAATTACTAAAAAATATACTGCAAAAAATCTCCTTCCCACTTTTGCCCCTTCACGTCCCCATACCCAGTTCCTCTCCTATCAATCAGGTTTAAATGCTAGAAACAGAAATCATTCTGGGTAAAAGGATTTAGCACAAGAAATTGGGTACTTAAAAATTGTTGGAAGGCTCAAGGGGCTGCCCTTAGAGTATCAGTCTGAAGGACCCACCAGTGAGGCTGTGATCTAGAGATCAGGAAATCACTACTGCTACTTCTACCTCCACCCCTGCTGTTTGACACTTGCAGGAAGCTAGTGTCTAGACATTAGCCCCTTACTACTACAAACTAGCACATCAGTATCACCTGGGAGCTTGTTTAAATATGTGTCCCTAGCCCCACCTACTGAATCATAAACTGCATTTTAACAAGATCTCCTGATGATTTATATTATAGTGCATGAAAGTTTAAGAGGCCCTGCACTGGGGCTTTGGGCCTGGCCACTGAAGTTGCCGTGATTGCCAGTTGTAAGGGAGTCAGGGAAATGGAGTTGTTGGTTTTCTCAACTCTCAGTCTAGAAGGAGGGTGCAGTGGAGATTGAAAGAGCCCATTTACTGAACTGACCATACTTCTACAAGTAACCATTGTTAGTTTCTTGTGTATCTTTCCAGATATTTTATGCATATTTAAGCATATTTGAATATATTCTTTTTAATTTTTAAAAAATAAATAACTTATCAACACAGTGTTCTATACCTTGCTCTTTTCATTTAATAATTCACCTTGGGAGAACTTTTCATGTCATGACATAGAACCATCTTGTTCTTTTTAACAACTACATGATATTTTGCTACATGGACTGCAAAATTATTAAAATTGAGGCTGTCTGATACAATCTAGGTTGAACGGCCATTCTCATTTATTGGCACATGTGAAAATCTACTTGTTAAATGTTTACTTCCTGTCTCTTTTGTGCTCAGGACTTATGTATCTGTCATCTTGTTTAACTTTCATTATAACCTAGTGTGCTTGGTATCCTTCCTCTACTTCACATGAGGGAACTTTGTAAGGTTAATTTCATAGTTCATAAACTAAGGAGTATCAAGGCTGGGATTTGAACCCCATGTCTGTTAGCCTCCATAATTTGTGATTGGACACAGTTATGCAGAGCCTTTAAATGGTGGGCTTTATTTAGTACTTTGGTGATCTACTCCTTTGGAAAGAGGTTTGGAAGGGTATTGTTTTAGATATTTTGGGTGGGTGTTTAAAGGCATTTCAATTTTTTTTTTCTGACTCAGGTATCCAGCTCACATAGAAGATATTGACTACGAAGAAGGAAAAGTACTCATCCATTTCAAGCGTTGGAACCATCGTTATGATGAGTGGTTTTGCTGGGACAGTCCTTATCTACGCCCTTTAGAGAAAATACAGCTGAGGAAAGAAGGCTTACATGAGGAGGAAGGATCTTCTGTGAGTAATAGACCTTGGAAGTTCAGTAATGAGCTGTGTCAGCCATTGGGTACTTTATATTCCAGCCTTTGATTTTCAGTGTGAAAGTCAGTAGCAGCTGGGGACCAATCTTTATTTAGGCCTGTAGGTTAACCCTAAGATCCCCAGGGCTCCCGAGGCCCTTAAAGAATCCCAGTTGTCATCTGCTTGAATGATGTTATTAATGGGATCACTCATAAACTGACTTGGTTGAAACCTCACTGATGATGAATGGGGACCTTATCTCTTTTACACCACTGTATACCTTTAGGTGATTTATTAAGCTGATCTACCATTTGGGCATTTATTAAGCAATCATTCCGTGTGAAGTACTGTGGAAGCTTCATATCAAGATCTTTTTAAAAAAATTTAATTTATTGATTTGAGAGAGAGAGGAAGGTGGGGAAGAGAGAGAGAGGGAAATATTAATTTGTTGTTCCACCTGTTTATGCATTCATTGGCTGATTCTTGTATGTGTCCTGACTGGGGATTGAACCCACAACCTTGGTGTATAGAGGTGATGCTGTAACCAACTGAGCTACCTGGACAGGTTCAAGGTCTTTTATAAGCCCTTGAAAAACTTGGAATTGATTGGACTCTATTTCCATTTTTAAATTTCATCACTATGCTTGGAGCTTTCATTGACTTCAGAATTAAGGATGTGGTAGCAGTTTTGAGTTTTTTTAAACATACACTGAGACATTTGTAGAGATCCTGCTACCTTTGGATCTGTCAGCCCTGGGTTGTTTTCCATTTTAACCCTGACCAGGGAACTTGATCTCTTGTTAGTTTTTTATTTTTTGTCCCCCAATTTAAGATTGTTTACTATTGTCCAATTTAATTGCTCAATATTTATTTTACAAACTGTATCAATGTAAACTGTGTACTGGGAAAACAGGATGAAATATTAAAAGTGAATACATGTTCTTTGGCAAAAGACCTTTTTAAAGTGTGGATGGGACTCACTTTCAAGGACAGGATAGAGTTATCTGTGCTGTGCTGCACTGCCGACACTTCCTAGGAGGGGAAAAGTCTTGTGTCCAGCCCTTTTGTTTTGACTCCTAGTGCTGAACAGCAGAAATAACTTCCTTCATTCCAGTAGCTATCTCCCTTCCCACTCTTGTGAACTCTAGCCTTTTATGAATTCTGGTACTGTGTGTGTCCTGTGAAATTGGATTGGTAACAGGATTTTTTTTTATGTTTTTTAGGAATTTCAAATAAATGAGCAGGTCCTTGCTTGCTGGTCTGATTGTCGTTTTTATCCAGCCAAAGTCACTGCTGTTAACAAGGATGGTAAGGCATTTGAGTTGTAATTGTTTTTACTCATGACTTAGGGAGGGAATTTGATATATTAGAGTTTGATCGTGAATTTTCAGTTTGTATTTATTGCCTAGGAATTCTCTCTCTTCCAAGTAATCACTATGTCAGGAGTTAGGAAGAAATTACAAATGGAGAGGAAGCCAGGTTAAATAGGGGAGTTTGGTTCTTTGATTTCTAAATTTTAATCATTGTTTTCTAAAGTAGTCATGGTTCATCTGTCATTCTGCTGGGAAGTGTATGGATTCTTGCTTTCTAGGAGTTCCTAATATAATTGATTAAATAGGTCTCTAATATTCCTTTTACTTACTTATGAATAGCCTAGAAGTGAAGTGAACACCAACAAACATTTCTTAAAAATGAGCTTTGTGGATGTAAGGTGATTGAGGGAGGTCTGTAATATCCGAGTTGCTAGTTGATCGGGGTGCTGGGATTTAGAGCACTGAGTTGGGATACCTTTGCCAGAGTTTAGAACATGTGAGGAATCAGGACAAGGACTGTGACCAGTAGAATCTCATTTTGCTAGTACAAAGGCAAGAGGAGGGAGGTAAGATGTATGGTCAGCATTCTGACAGGACCCTGACACTGAGACAACAGATTCTGGGTTCAAGTGATACCGTTTTGGTTTGTTTTTTTAAATAGCATTTTCTACCAGGATGTTTATGGTTTGTCCGTGATTTCTGTAATGAATATTTAGGGTAATCAGACCTCTTAGTACCATTCATAGGGGTGACTGCAAGGCCAGATTGACTATTCTTTCCTTGAAGTTATTCAGGTATTTATTTATTCAGCACTCTGCTAAATGCTGGGCCTTGGGCTGACGAAGTTTTGAGAGAGAATGGGTTGAAATGGTCAAAAATGAACATTCATTTGCATGTAGCAGAAATTTTAGTTTCTCTATTGTTATATTCACCCACCCCCACCCTGCAAGTTGTTAGACTGTTGTGGGTTAATGGATGTAGGTTCAGTCATGTGCCAGATGGCAATTATCCTTGAAGTACAGTCCTTTTGCCTCAGGCCTCCAAAGCAAATGTGTATCTTTTAAGTTGCTTAAGCAGCCCTGGCTGGTGTAGCTCAGTGTTTTGAGTGCTGGCTTGTGAACCAAAGGGTCACTGGTTCAATTCCCAGTCAGGGCACATGCCTGGGTGGTGGGTCAGGTCCCCAGTAAGGGACACCCAAGAGGCAACCACACACTGTTGATTTTCTCCCTCTCTTTCTCCCTCCCTTCCCCTCTTTAAAAATAAATAAATAAAATATTTAAGGAAAAAAGTTGTCTAAGCAGTTACTGATTCTCCAGTTTGGTTGAAATAAGTATTTTTGGATAGTTTCTTTTTTTTAATAAAGATTTTATTTATTTATTTTTTTAGAGAGAGGAGAAGGGAGGGAGAAAGGGAGAGAAACATTGATGTGAGAGAGAAACATCAGTTGCCTCTCATATGCACCCTCATTGGAAACTGAACCTGCAACCCAGGCATGTGCCCTGACTAGGAATTGAACCCGCAGTCTTTCTGTTTGCAGGACAACGCCCAACCAGCTGAGCCACATTAGTCAGGGCCGTTTTTGGATAGTTCCTTATTTCCTTAAATTACTTTTATAAGCTTGTGTTCAAAATAAAATAATGTTGTTACTTTTCATATGTATGGCATTTCCAAAAACTTACCTTAAGGGAAAGCTTGTATGTTATTAAACTGCCTCAAATCCTTTTAGTAAAAGATATAGTTTACCTTTTCATTCTCATTTTCAAGATTAATATTTTTTCTTCTGCTTTTATTGTATTTAAATCATGACATGAAATACAGGTGTTATTCATGCATATAGATATATTCCTCAGTCTATTAGGTTGATTTATGCTGATCAAGCCATATTTTTCCCCCAGAATAATATCCACTGGTGTTTTTTCCCTTGGGTAAATGGCTGCCCCTTAGATCAAATGAAAATTGTGGATAATAGCATGGGTAACTGTATAGGTAAGGGAGGTAGCAGAAAGGAAGCAACATTTCTCTTTTGTTCCTGTGATGTCTTAGAGTCACATGGAGGACAGAAATGGGGTGAAGAAGACTCAATGAGAGAGTGGCAAAGGAGGGGCGGATTGAGGAAGAGGGGCCGGGAGCCCTGGGAGCTGTCTCACAGAGGGGTGGGGGGTATCTTGGTGGAGGCAGTAAAGGCATCTAATATCTGAAGGGCTCAGAGTTTGGCATTCATGGATTAAAAAAATAAGAAGACCTAGTTCAAGGCAGAATGAGGTGTTGAGATAGAGCCACCAGGATGAGGCAGGGCAAGAGCCGATGGTGCAGATAAATCATAAGGGAAGTGAGGAAGGACCCCTGTTCACAATTAAGGGCGGGGGGAGTAGGGGGGGTGGGGGGATGGGGTGTGTGTGTGTGTGTGTGTGTGTGTGTCTGAAATCTTGAAATAATCGCTTAAAGGATAAAAGCCATTGGCCACATTGTTGTCCACAGTTAATTAAGTTTTTGAAAAAAATATTTTATTTGTTTTTAGAGAGATGGGAAGGGAGGAGAAAGAGCGGGAGAGAAACATCAATGTGTGGTTGCCTCGCGCACCCCTACTGGAGACCTGGCCCACCATCCTGGCATGTGCCCTGACTGGGAATTGAACTAGTGCCCTTTGGTTCGCAGGCTGGCACTCAGTCTACTGAGCCACACCAGCTGTGGTGTTAATTAAGGTTTGAAAATGTCTTTTAAACTGGAGCAACTGAAGCTTTACAAGTTTTTTTAAAAAAAAAACTCTCTTCAGTTTGTTTCCTCCAGGAGCTAAAATTATAGGAGGGAGAATCTTGAAGTAATGTCTGTTCCTAAAACAGTTATTTGCTGCCCTAATATATAGGTTCTATAAGCTCTGAATTCTGTCCAGTGAATTTTAATTAACTGAAGAACATCGAAAATGAGTGGAGATTTTGGCCATAACCTGTTTTTCCTTGTTTTTGAGCCTCAACTCTTGTATTATGTTGGTACCTTTACTGGTTCTTGAGACTTAAGTGGAAGGGGGAGGAGAGGAAGAACGTGGGGGGAGGGGAAGTCCCTGAACGTCAGTGGAACTGGTTGGGTGGTATTATTGCCAAACCATGGATTGTGAGGGGAAGCTAGCCTTTCTGGGAGCTCAGATGTTTTGAGATGAAATAGTGACCCTTAGGTGCTGCCTTTGGGTTAGATTTCATCCATGGGAGCTGGTATGCAGTTTCTAGTTCATCATGATTCAGTCTAGCAATTGCAGGGTTGGAAAGGAACAATCCTGGGCTCTTTTTCATTCTTTCATTCTCTGTTATTTTCTGCTCTGCCTCAGTTTCACGTGCAGCAGGGATCACCACAGCTTACTGGCGCTGTGAGTAGAAGGGCACCTCTCCTGGCAAGATGCCCTTTTATTTCCTGTAAAAGACTGTCTTGTTGGTGCTGCTGAGAGTAGGTCAGGGATATAGCGAAGTCATACTCTGTAGATTCACCTTTGGAAGGCTAGGTCTGGTTTTCTCGTTACTCTTAACCTCTCTGTTGGTTTTGCTGAGGCTGATTATTGACTGAGAAGGCTGGTGGGTAGGGGCTCTAGCCAGAGTGGAGAGCAACAGCTGCTGGCATTTGGCGTCTGGTATGATTGAATTACAACTAAATAAGCAACTTTAGAGTTTCCTGAGGGAGTTAGTTAGCACTTGGAAACTGGGGAGGGCAGTGCCATGCTATTCAGCTCTCTTCACCTGGTTCTTTGGCAATGGTAATTAAGCATCATTTAGTATGAAGGTAATCACACCTGGTAGCCTTATAGACCCTGGGTCTGTGTTGTAGTAAAAGATGGGATTTTGGTTCCAGGGAACCTTTGTTCAGAAGCCATCTCTGGTGAGTTGATCTCAGCTCTTTGCTTGGGGCTGCTCAACTCCCCCCTTTTTTTTTACAGTGGTGATGGCAGAGGCACTTGTCTGTTAGTGCTTTGTTCTACCAGTTGCGGAGGAAACTGAAAGTGGGTTCACATTTACAACAAAATGAGGAATTGTTCCTTCATGTTGATCTGTGGTTCTTTAACTTGAGTGAGCAGGCTAATCAGGTCCCTTTTCCTTAAAGTTAAATGCATATTCTTGGGTCACATTCCTGCTCCGCCCTTCCTCTTAGTTCAGTCTCTTTGGTTCATTGACTGAGTCTTTGTTTACAGCAGGAAATCCTATGGAAATGGTCTTATTTCTAGAGTCTCTTACTAGAGCAGTTACTGTTCTTTTGTTTTCATTATTCTGTAACTGATCCTACATTTAAAATGCAGGGGTATTGGGCCTATGTGAACAGCTTTGCACAGAGATAAAAAGAAAGGTTTAGGCCTACGTAATAAGTGCTAGTTTGGCTTTTATTGATACTTTCTATGGGGAGAGGGGTTAGTGCTTCTATTTTAAAGTTACTTGGATAATAATCATTAAAACTACTATTGATCCTTTGCTCTGTGACAGTCCCTTTGCTAAGCACTTTCCATCTCTGATCAGCCATGGAAAGGTTGTTGCCATCAACTTGATCCTCATTTAACAGATGAGGAACTAAGCTCACAGGAGAAATTGCTTGAGGTTACAGAGCACAGACAAATGGTGGAGCTCACATCTGAATGGAGGTCTGTGGGACTGCAGAGTTCCTGAACTGCAGTTCCCACAGTATGAGGCTGCCTCTCTGGAGCAGGAGTTGTCAGTGAGGGCAGTTGTTCCCTGGGGGAATGTGTGTGCGTGCTCCTGCACGCATGGGCCTGATACGATGGTAGGATGGGTGTAGATGGTTTGTACTTTCTGGAGCCTGGTGTCTCCATAGTAATGACTAGAGAGGAGTCTCTGGTTCCAGTTCCTGCTCAGTGATACAGGCAATTAACTGCCCTTGCCCCGGAGTCATTTGAGCAATTAAAAAATGAAGAAGAAATTGAAAAAAAATGAGCACTTTTTGAAATTGTTGGCCATGGAACTCAAGCCCATTATGTAAAAATTGCCAAAAGGAAAAGACAGAGAGAAGGGAAGGTGTGTCTGCAAACATGTACCTATCCCTCTGCCCACCCGCTGAGGCATATCTTGAGAAACCACGTTTGTAAACTTGAGCCTCCTATGCATGGCGTTGTCGAATACTCTGACTCCTGGAGAATGAGTAGGATAAAGTCCCTGAAGTTACAGTTATGGTAGATTTCAAGAGCACCAGAAGTCAGTCCTATTCATAGTGACCTGTGTATCCCTATTTCTGTGGTACTAGAGAAGATGAGCTTGCTGTGCATCTCCATTTTTGTTCTTACATACCTTCTGCTATTAACTGACTGCTATAAGGTTGTCTGACATGCTAAGTTCTTACCTCCCAGAGGGGTAAGTCCAGGAAGCTTTGTTTTACCTGACAGTGTAAGGACGGGCTTCTTAAGGGAACCTGAGCCAGGAGGCCTTTGTGATAAAGATGTACTTATTTTGTTGAATTCTGTCATTTACATGTTATTTGTTAGATGTTATTAGTGGCCATGGGAGAGCTTTATTGTTAGCCATCCATGGGAAGATTCCATAGAAAAACACTTTTAGTTCTACATGAAACCACTAAAATATTGTAGATTTGGGGCCCCTTTGTTATCCATGGGTTGTTTTGTTTTGTTTCCATTGATTTTTTTGAAGACCAAGTTAGGCTGTGTGCATGATCAAGGGAGACAGTTTCAAGATGATCCCTTGTAGCACTTTGGAAGTAAAAAGGGGCAGGACCAGGATATTGCTATCTAAGGACAGTGACCCCTGAACACCTTTGGCTATATAGTTTGGGTCATTTCAGAGTGGCCAGTTTTCATCTGGGTTTGAACTATAGGCTGAGGGACTTGTGGGGTGGAGGGAGAAGAATTGGTCAGAGGTCAGCAACAGGCTTGGATTCTAATTCTAGCTGTACTTTAGACTATGGAATTCAGAGCACAACCCTTCATCTAAGGCATCCTTTTTGAGTCTGCCATAAGGAGTAAGCTTCAAAATTGACCTCATGTAGCTGAAAATGTACTGTTGGATAGCATTATTTAATGTCTTTCTGGATGTTTGAAATGTCTGTAAAAATGGACAGTTTTCATTCTGCAACTGATGCTGAACTTTTGTTGTAGATAAAGTAGTTTAAAGTGTAGGCTTGGGTGGTTTTTTGGCACTCTTAATATTTAAGATTTCATGAGAATTGGGTGCTTTAAAGCCTCAGTACCCCTCTCCTGTGCTGACCAGAGCTCCCATAGTTGCTTGAAAAGCATTGCTTGTCATCGCTCTGGTGGTTGCCAACACCCTCACACTACAAGCAGGAAGACAGGAACCCAGACCTTTGTTGTAAGTACTTATCAATCATTGCTGAGCTGCCCATTGTAGAATTCTTTACCATAGCCTGTCATCTAAATTGCTTGTTTTAACCATCCAAGCATATATATCTCATTATATCTAGCCTGTATAATAGCCATTTTCCTTCAGTGTTAGTGATGCTTGTGATAAATAATCACCTGTATTTTGTAATTACCCAGGAGTAAAGATCAGTTGGTAATTACTGATTGTTTACACAAGCGGTTCTCAGATTTAGTGTGCACTAGAACGCTGAAGGATTTGTTAAAACATACATTTTTTTCAAAAAGATTTTGTTTGTTTGTTTTTAGAGAGAGGGGAAGAGAGGGAGAAAGGGAGAGAAACATCAATGTGTGATTGCCTTTCACATGCCCCCTACTGGGGACCTGGCCTACAACCCTGACATGTGTCCTGACTGGGAATCGAACCAGTGACCCTTTGGTTTGCAGGCTGGCGCTTAATCTGCTGAGCCACACTGAGCAGGGCTAAAACATACATATTTCTGTTCCGCTCCTAGAGTGTCTGATTTACTATGTTGGGGACGGGGCTGGTAACTTGCATTTCTAACAAAGTCCAGGAGTCACGGTTGCTGCTGGTCTGGGGACCGCACTTTAAGAAGCAGTGGTCTGCAGTGAGCCAGGCTGTCTGTGAGAGAGAAACTGGTGTGAAATGTGATATGTAGCCTTGGAGAGCCTACCTTCAATTTGGAATCTGCCTTCTATATTAAAGTAAACCTAAATATGTGTGAGGACAGGTGCCAAATGGGTCTTTGAGAAGCTCAGAACAGGGAGAAATCTCCAGTAGCTAAGAAGTCAGGAAGCTTTTATAGAACTATCATGGTCTTTTGAGCAGTGGGTGCTTAAGGATCAATGGGTGGCATGTTCCAGGCAGGAAAACAATAAAGATATGGATGCACTTTCAATGGGTTGCATGTAGCTAGTTACTTTCAGTGGGTGAGTATTGTATGCTGGTAATGAGAAATAAGGTTTGACAACTAACCGGGCTCAGATTGCATGGGACTTTGAACACTAGAGAGGCAAGCTTTCAGTAGCAGCTGCTAGCCATTGACAGGACCCTTTTTAGGACTGGAGGAGATGTGGGGTGTAGTGGGGAGACAATGTTTAAGAAGGAGTTAGCCAGCCAAGGCTCTTCCTGTTAGCCCTCTTTTTCTCCTAGCCCTTCGAATTTCTTTTTTCATTCCATGTTGGTGGGAAGTTGGTCCTGAAAACTGACAATGTTTATCAGTGTTAAACTATTACATGATTACCAGTGGTTCACTGGTAATCTTGACAAGATCAACTATGATTCTTTTTAAATCTCTGTGACGAAAAAGGGGAGGACATAGTGGGTTCTAAGATGCAGAAGTTTGATAGTGTTGGTTTGGGCAAAACTATTGAGAACTTTTGTAATCAGTTGCCTTATTTGGGAAGAAAGAGTATTTGGAGTTCCAGCTTCATTTTTATTTTAATTTATTTTGTATTTTATTTTACTTAATTTTATTTTGATTTTATTTATAGCAGAGCATGATTTTTGCTCGATGTTTTTTCCTAATGGAATAAAGTTGACAATGTATCAGGCACCGTTTAGTGTTTTGGCTGAGTTTCTGTTTTTAAATATCATAACATGAAGGTAATTCATATGGGTATTGATATTAATGTCATCCCTGAAAACATGATATCTTTAGCAGTCATGTTTCTTTTAAAGTTTAAAAGCTATTACTATCTTTAAGCTCAGAAAATAAAGATTAAGTAATAAAAATTAATTCACCAAGAAATAAATCTGCATTTTTCTCAGATTTTTAATTGTTTTACTGCTCTTTGTTCTTGGTCTAAATTCAGTACAAGTTTTTAAAATTTTATTTTAATAAAGCATCTTAAAAAGGAATTGTTTTTTGATGGATTTTGATCTATGTAGATAAAAAGAAAGGCATGCATACTATTATCTTAGACATAAATAAGACTGATGTGAGTCTTAAAGACTTTTTAAGTTTTCCTAAGTTTATTATTATTGTTGGAGCTCTCTTGTGTTTCATGAAACTGGAAGTTAAAATCATGATATCTTCTTGAATTTTAGGTACTTACACTGTGAAATTTTATGATGGAGTAGTTCAGACCGTCAAACATATTCATGTTAAAGCTTTTTCCAAAGATCAGGTGAGAAATGTGGTTTTGTGCTTTGTGGTATGAATAATGCTAACACTGTAGTTTTGTTTCTCAAATAATTACATTTGTTTGTGATTGCAAAGTCTTTTATTTCCTCCATCTGACATGATTTCACCAGAAAACAATATGCACATTTTCAGAAATTGTTAATATTTGTCTCTCTCTGCCATTTCCTTGTAACACAGATTCTTCTTTTTAAAAGTACCATATACTTGGATACCATTATCTATAATCTGTATTCCTCGTCTTTTCTTCAAAGTGTCTAGTTACTCTTTTTTTCTTTCTCCATGTGCCCTGCCCCCAAAGCTTTACCCATCGCAGGAAACTTGAATTGCTTGAAAAGATATAGAGTATGTTTTCTCTTCATCTAACTTTGTCTTTAAGCTCAGGACCATGCCATGGTGGTTACAGAGCTACAGTTGGGCATGGATTTGGCAGTCACATGTGCTAGATGTACCTGGGTTGAAAATTTTGTTTTCTCTCCCTGGCATCTATTTGCCTGAGCATGGGACCTGAGTTTTGATATTGGAAATATAGTGCACACAGATACAGGCCATCTAGAAGTGTTGCCTGCTTCATGATTTCCCCCCTGCCCTTTAGTCTTTTTAATATTTGTGTTTTCATGAAGTAGTTGAGGGGAAAGAGATTAAAATTTGGATATTGATGCTTTTTAAAAACTCTTGATTGTTACTGTTACTCACCTCTTTGATGTTTGTTGATGTGACAATATTTGGTGATGCCAGGACCTGTTGTATTTTTTCTCATGATGATCAAATGCTTCTCTATATCAGATTTTGGTAAATACCTCTGTACATGTATTTAACAATTTCAATGGATAATAGTACATGATAATGTTTAAAGGTAGCCCTAAGACGTTTTTGCCTTTGACTGTTTTTCTGCTTCAGAAAGTTGACAGAACTATAAAGCTTTAGCTCTGAAGATGTTTTCTGTTTGCTCATTTGCCCCTCAGACATCTGAAGAGCAACACAGTACTTTAAAACATTATTTTGATGTTTCATTTGACCATTTTTGTGTGTAGTTCATGAAATGAGTTAATACAGATAGAGGACCATATTAAGAACTTGTCCAGAATTGTCAGATTGTATCCAGAGCCTCCCCAAATGGAAGCCCAGGGCTCCAGAAAGCAAATGTTCAACAGTTTATTCTGCTGTACTCCATAAACTGATTGCCAGCACTCATGGTGCTTTGGCTTGGTGCTGGGCATCGTACCCAGGGTGAATTTTTGGGTGCTTCACTTCTCAGTTTCCCAGATGCCTCTTAGCATCTGACCTCATCTCAGACCTGGCAGGTGGGCAAGCACAGTCCGATGGCACCTGTTTGCTCCCCCCCCCCCTCAGAGGACAAAGTAGTTTGGGTAAGTGACTTCTCAGCTCTTTTGACCCTAATAATCTAAGGCACTTACAAAGCAAAACTTCTTAAAAATATCCATCTGACAATTCTTAAAGCTTTTATAATATTAGAATAGATTGAGGTTTCTTTTATAGGACCACACTGTCTTAAATGTTTTGATAAACTGTATTTTAGGAACATTTATCTTTTTTTGAAGTTAAAAAAATAATACATTTGCTATAGAAAATTAAAGTACAGAAAAGCACAAAGAAAGTAAAAACTATCATTCTGTCATCTACTGTTCAATTACTGTTAACTGTTCACATTTTGATTTGTATATATATCTTTCTGTGTTTTTAGTTAAATATATATTTCCTTTCAAAGTTGGAGTCATGTATTGTATTACTGTGCTCTAACTTTTAACAAAATAACATTTCTTCAAGTTTCTTTTTTAAATATTTTATAAAAGATTTTACTTATTTATTTTTAGAGAGAGGAGTAGGGGGGAGAAACAGAGGGAGAGAAAATCAATGTCGATGTGTGAGAGAAACATCGATCGGTTGCCTCTTTCACACTCCCAACGATGGGTGGCCTGGCCCGCAACCCAGGCATATTGTTTTGACCAGCAATCAAACCTGTGACCTTTCAGTTTGCAGGTCAATGCCCAACCCACTGAGCTACACCCACCAGGGCTCCCCAGGTTTCTTAATACTGAATGCAAATGCAGCTTTTAATGGCTATGTAGTATTCTGTAATATGTATGTAATCCTACTTTGTGTAACCAATTCCCTAATGGTCATTTAAGGATATTTGTAAATCTGGGTGCCCAAGTCTGATTATTTTATTAGCAGATTTTATTTCTAAGAATTCATTCTAGTTCAAATTATAAACTTAAGTCTTTTGACCCAAACTGCCACCCTCCCTGCACCCAAATAGTTGAAGTTTATATTTCTGTCAGAAGTTACTGAGGAATACTTTTTCTTAAACCTGACTGCTTTCAGAAAATTCTGGGGACTTGAAGAAAAAATTTCCTTCTAGGCCCTCACAACAGAGATCCTTATTTATTATTTTTCCCTATGGGACAAAGTAAACCTTTACTCAGTGAGTATTTAGGCACTCTTTCCTACTTCTGGCAAAGATCTGTGTGCCTAGTGCATCCTAGGTGCAGGGGATCTCATATGAACATGGTATGGTGAAGGTTGAAGTCTTGAAAGAGAGGTACATTGTACAAATAAACTTAACTGTAGTTTTGGAAACTCCAAAGCTTTCAAAACTGACTTTATTATGAGACAGTTATAGTAGGACACATGATTTTTAGGATGAATCTTAAAGTAATTTAGGAGGAACTTCTTCCTGATAGATTAAAAACTCAGTAAATAGCTCAGGAACATAGTAGGTAGCTTGTTGGACTGAGCACAGCCTTTACCCAGTAGAGGAAGCAAAGGCCCTGTTTCTGGGTTGGAAAATCTTTACAATTTTCCTGTTCAGCCTCTAGTTATCAGTTTGAGTTCTACTCTGCAGAGAGGATCAGGATCCACTGGTACACTAAGCCAGGCCTATGAAAGGCCCTGGGTCAGCGTAATCATGCTTGGGATGAGAGGAATGGGACATGAAGGCATTTTCTTAGAAAGAATTGCTTTCCACAGTAGGTCCCTGGAGTAGGTGTCTGTCCCTTTAATTATTTCTTAGTGACTTATTAATCGTAAGGGAGATAGCTCTGCCTCAGAAGGAATTGAACATGACCACTGTTTTCTTTAAATTTAGGATTGATTCTCAAGCCTCAGAGTATGGGTAGATATTTTCAGTGGCGACCATTATGTGACTTGCATATGTCCTTTTATTTCTTTGTCTTCATAAGTTTGTAAAAAACTCTCTGATTTTATATTTGCAAGTAATCACAAGTGTGTTTCATCGCTATTTTGCTTATTTTAGAATATTGTGGGTAACACTAGGCCTAAAGAAACAGATCACAAAAGTCTTTCATCATCTCCTGATAAACGAGAGAAGTTTAAAGAGCAGAGAAAAGTCACAGTCAACCTGAAGAAAGACAAAGAGGACAAAGCCTTAAAGACAGAAAAGCGACCCAAGCAACCTGATAAAGAAGGGAAATTAATCTGTTCTGAAAGGGGGAAAGTGTCAGAAAAAAGCCTTCCTAAGAACGAGAAGGAAGATAAGGAGAACATTTCAGAAAATGACAGAGAGTACTCTGGAGATGCTCAAGTGGATAAGAAACCTGAAAATGACATTGTGAAGAGTCCGCAAGAAAACTTGAGGGAGCCAAAAAGAAAACGAGGCAGACCCCCTTCCATAGCTCCTACTGGTGAGTTTCCCAAGTAGGCTCTGCAGTGGGCAATGCCAGTGTTTTTCTGTGCCTCCTTGTGGTTCTGTGCCTCAATCCTTCATTTTTGCGGCAGACTTTGAATTGTTCTATGATCTGAAAACATGTCATCTGAATTTTAAGGGAAGCATGTATCTAGATCAGTGATTTTCAGCCTTTTTCATCTTATGGCACACAAACTAACTACTAAAATTCTGCAACACCAAAATATTTTTTGCCAATCTCACAAAAATAAAATAGGTATAATTTTGACTCATTCACACTGGATGGGTATTGTGTTGGCTGTTGTCACTTTTTAATTTGACAATCTAAGGGAAAGGTCCGTGTCCCTGACCTAAGTAGTCAGGTATTGCGTGTTTTAAAAATTCTTATGGCACACTTGTTGAAAATTGCTGATGTAGATGAACATAAGTTGGGAAACATGTCTGAAACTGAACTTGGGGGAGAGGGGTAGAAAGTTGCTCACTACATGCTTCAACTTACTTGATAAAACCTAATAAGCTAAGGCCTTTTGCTTGTACCTAATGTAAATGATCTCCATTTAAGTAACTTTAATAGAGCCTTGGATCAGGAAGTGCAGTTTTTATGAGACATGAAAGAGGAAAGGAGAAGTAAAATAGGTGTGCATGTCTGAAGGAGGGTTACTGAAGGAGATGGGGTCAAAGACCTAGAGAGACATGAGTGCATTTGAAACTGAGCTCCCTGGAGAGTGATTATTGATTGAAAATTTTCAGTCTAAATAAAAAACTGAGAGGCCTAATTGGTAAGAGTCAAGGTTAGAGGGTACAGACTTAGGGAAGAATGCACAGTTGTGAAATAAAGTTGGAATTTTTCTAGAGTAATCCAGAATGAAACACATGCTAAATTTCTTCCTAAGCCAAACACTCCTTCTCTGTATCAATTCAGTGGCAGGAAGAGTTGCGAGGATCTCCAGACTGAATGCCTGTGAGTATCCACAGTGTTCTTCAGACATTTTGGCTTGTGTATTCTCTACATGAATGTTGAAAAACTATGAATCTCTTAGCACATTTTAAAGTGACATCTGTTTTTGTCTCACAAGTTTAAATAGTTGCAAGAGATATATTTAAAATATAAAATTTATTTTAATCAAAATTGTGGAATTACAGAAGTAGCTCTTTCATTGTTTCCAAAGCTAGTCCTATCAATCCAGACAGTTACATCAGACTTAATTTCTGTGGCATAAAGTCTACCTTAATATACTTCAAATAAATGTGTTAGTCATTCACAGTAGACAAGCTTCTTGCATCTGAGTTCTAATTTTAAGACAGGAAATTAGGTTGATTTCTTCCCAGATGAAATGTCACCTCCTCCTTTAGTGGTTGTAACTGGGTTTTGCCCTCAAAAGCTGAGCATGCTGGAATGGTCCCTAGACAAATTAGGGCCTGGACCTAAGCTGTCCAATGTGGTATCCATTAGACACATGTGGCTAGTAAGCTCTTGAAATGTGGGTAGTCTGAGTTGAGATGTGCTGTAACCGGATTTCAAATACTTAGTATAAAAAAACCCCCCACAAGAATGTATAATATTGCAATACTTTTTATATTGATTGCATGGTAAAATATTTTTGGATGTACTGGTTTGAATAAAATATATTCTTAAAAATCAGTTTCACTTTTTTCTTTAACTTCTCAATGTGACGGCTAAAAATTCTAAATTTACATATGTGGCTTGCATATGGGCTCTCATCGTAGTCCTGTTGGACAGTACTGGCCTAAATTCACTGGCTTTCTCAACAGCATTTCGGGAGAGAATTAAACTCTAATGCCCAAGGTATCCATATAATGAGTTGATCTCTCTCCTGTGCAGTCTGAATGGTACTAGTTATGAACTACCCTTGAACTGAGAAAACTGAGAACTGAGAAAATAACCTGTGTGCTTTTTATTCAAGTGAGGAATTGTAGTTAAGAAAGTCTAGAGGTTTTAAACCTCTGCACAATGTACCATGTTAAGATGCGGGATGAATGAGAGGTAACCTTTTTATGTAAGTGGGAGAAGTGGAAAAGGTGAAATGGCAGAAATCAAATGTGTCCGCTTCTCAGTTTAGGAAATTGTATTTGCGGGAATTGAGTGTTGTGAAACTGATACTTCTTTAGTTTTTCATACTCTGTCTTGTACCTTCTGGAAAGTGTGTACTGGAGTAGATGCACTTCAGCTTGCAGACTGCTCCTCTGAAGCCACATGATTTTATTCTGATAAAATAAGTATCTTCCAGTTTAATGCTTTTATTTTATAAGTGTAGGATTTCATTCCAGAGAGGATCAATTTAAGAGAGAAATGGTGTTTCCCTCTCTTAAAGTTCCAAACTTTCCGTTAACACTTGTCTTTCCTCCCCAGCCAGAATCTCTGGAGCAAGGTCTGGGATATGAATTGTTAAAACAACCTTTCCAGATCATTCTTTCTGAAAGAAGAGTTAGGGAAACACTAAAGTTCTATGTAGTTAGCCCCAGTTCATATATGGTATCAAAGTGAAGAAGGTTTGCTAAATAGCTGATAATGTAGTTCACATTCCCTTTAAAAATTGCTTAGAATAACTTCATTGACTCAGTGGAGGCTTGAGTCCCCTAGATTGTATACAGACTTGACAGGAAAAGGATCTGAGCTCTTTAAGGAGGGTTGTTGCTGTTTAATTTGGAACGTGTGTTATCTCTGAGTTCCCACCAGTTGGAACAAAATAATGGTGGCACACTGGGAAAATTGAACACAAGAAGAGCCAAGGAGTTCACCACCCTCTTTGGGTTTGCCTCCTCAGAACTCAGCCCTGTCTTTTGTTTGGCAATTTGACATGGCAGGTCTAAAACTTCTGGTGTAAGATGAGTCTTCTCTCCCCTTCCCATCCCCTTTTCCTTTCTCCTTCCCCTTCCATTTCTTTCCCTCCTTCTTCCTCTTTCCCCTGTCCCCTTCTCTCTCCTTTGAAACTTCATCAGTCCCCTTAGCCCTGTCTTCCCCCTAAGCTTCCCAGTTTCTTTTCTTTTGTTTTCTTCTTCTGCTTTCCTTTTGGATTCTTACCTTTCCTGATTGTGGAAGAGCTTCTTAAGTGTTAGATTTAAAAATAAAGAGTACTGTCTAAGGGTTTAGCATCTGCATGGCTAAGTTATGTCAGTGCTGGATTTGCTAGTGGTCAGCAGCCTTGCCTGGAACACTGACTGTTAAATAGAAGAGTCTCCTGAGATTTTCCTGGAATTGTTTTTAGAGGTTATAAATCTTGACATTCTTTTTGATTCCTCAAAACTAGGATCAGTGCCAGGCTAACTAGTTGAACAAGCAGAGATTGAGAACAATCAAGCCGTAGTTCCAGGGTTCATGGTTTAAGGATTAGCCTGCATAGTAGATATTCTGAGTATTGGATAAGTCCAGTTTTGATGAAATGATGTGATGCTGATAAAAATGACTTTTCTATTGTTTTTACACCTTCATATTTTAAAGCAGTCATGTTGAGGTAGAGTGTTTTAAAGAGAGGGTTTCAGGAGAGATGTATATGACTAGAGCTGGGTCACAGATGTCAGCATCTCTCATAAGGAAGTAATTTCTCACCTATTTCATTTTTTTGTTTTCTTATAGTTTAAGTAGGAATGCTTCTTGATCTGTTTATCACGCAAGAATGTCTTTGTGTGTATGTGTGTGTGTGTTATAGCTAACAATGAGGATTGGACACTAAGAAATTACACACCTTTTTTGTGTGGTTTTATTTTCATTGTAGCAGTGGATTCAAACTCTCAAACATTGCAACCAATAACACTGGAATTGAGAAGACGGAAAATATCAAAAGGAAGTGAAATCCCATTAAAACGCCCTCGGCTTGACAAAAATTCATGTGAGTCTTCAGTTTGTGTATGTGCACCTAAAACTGACTTCATTTGGGTTAGCTTCCCCGTATCCATGTTTTCCCCAATTTCCTATAGTCTCTAAGACTTGTCCTTGCTCATAGGAGCTAATATGAGTGGGATGTGGTTGGATCAAAAAGAGTTTTGCTAGAAGAACAATAAACCTCAAAGCACAAGCTCCATTAATATTGGATTGAGTGGTATCACCTCCATTTGATTTGAATTCCACTGGAAATTTAATGGCTTAGGAGGGGATGAATTTCATATGCTGAGTGAAACTTTAATAATACTATTTATTGATTTTTTTAGAAGTATCCTATTGGTTGCAAAAAAGATTCATGATGGTTCTAAAGCTCTATAAACCTTATTGACTTTAAAAGTCAGTGTATAGGCTTTTATGTTGTAAAGTTCCAACATAGAATGTGGTTGTCAAGATTGGGACATGACCTTGGCATGTATTTGCATATGAAAAATTCTATCCTGGCAGACTGTGCCTTTACCTAAAACTACAAACTAGGAAAAGATATTTCCTTTTATCTCTGGTCTAATATTCCGTAAGTCTCTATAAAACCCTTATAGAGGACAGCCAGTCCAGAAATCTGTAGTAGCAAAGTTATTTCTTCTGGTCTCTTGACTACAACTCTCTTAATGGTTTATAGCCCAGGAAAAGTCAAAAAACTACCCAGAAAACACTGACAAAGACTTATCAAGGAGACGGTCCTCCAGGCTGTCCACAAATGGGACCCATGAGATCTTAGATCCTGACTTGGTTGTATCAGATATGGTTGATACAGTTAATACTGATTCTTTGCAAAACACATCATCCAGTACCAAGGAATCTGAAGAAGGTGAGTCAAAGTCTGTTCTGGAACTGTATTGCCAACCTGATGCCTCTCTAGTGAAAACCAGTCTGAACCTTTGTGTACTGCCTTCCATGTTGTAGATTGTCTTGAAATCACGTTACTGAATGGGCTGCAGTGTTTTTATAACATATTGTTCCTCACTGATGATTCAGTAGACAAACATTTTGAGATTGGTTTTGCTTATATATGTCTGAATATTGGGTTATACCTACAGTGCTGAAGAGCCCTGCCCTTCTCTATCTTTCTGGTGCTGTCTTATTCCAGTACCTGTGCTTTTTTGTTAATGCTTCTGGCATATACTCCCTTCACTTTAACCTCTTTCCTTGAGATGCTCACAGCCCTGGCTATATGTGCTAGAACCCCTGAATATATTTTTTTAAAAATATATTTTTTAAAGATTTTAATTATTTTTAGAGAGGGGGAAGGGAGGGAGAAAGAGAGGGGGAGAAACATTTATGTGTGAGAAATACAGTGATTGGTTGCCTCTTTCACGCCCCTAGATGGTGACCTGGCCAGCAACCTAGGCATGTGCCCTGACTGGGAACTGAACCGGCAACCTTTGGGGTCACAGGCTGGCACTCAATCCTCTGAGCCACACCAACCAGGGCAATTAAAAAAAATTTTTTTTAAAAAAATTTTGGGGGGGAGGGAGAGAGAGAGAGAAAGAAAGAAAGAGAAAGAGAAAGAGAAAGAAAGAAACATCGATTTGTTGTTCTGCTTACTGATAACATTCATTGGTTGATTCTTGTATGGGCCCTGACTGGGGATCAAACTTGCAACCATGGCATATTAGGACAGCATTCTAACAACTTAGCTACCTTGCCAGGGCAGTGAATATATATCATGCTGTGAGATGAATGACTTCCTCTAAAAACAGTTCCTGGCTTTCTTAGTCTGTTGAGGTACTTTTGGTTCTCAAACTATATGCACGTGTAATATATGTTTCCTAAGCTTTCTTTTTTTCTTCTAGGTCAGTTGAAATCTCCTTTGGAAGCTGGCCAGATATCATCTGCACTAACTCGCCATTCCCTGGGGGATGGATTGGGGGCTCCAGGTTTGGAGTTGAACTGCAAGTCAATGGGAGAAAACACTATGAAAACGGAAGCGACTTCTCCCCTTGCTGAGTTACAAGAGATATCTACTGTGGCAGGTTCATATTTAGAGTTAACATAATTCTCTCCTAATATATACTTTTGATTGTGAACTATATAAATAATGGATTCTTCAAATTATGTTTCTTCACCTTTTATTAATAGTACTCCCTTATTTTAATGTTATACCCTTTTCATTTCTCATATTGCTAATTTGTGTTTTTTTCTTGATTAGTATGATTAGGGATTTATCAATTTTGTTTCATAGTTTCAAAGAACCAACTTACTGTTTTTTCTCTATTTGTCTTTTTAAAATGCCATTGATTTCTGTTTTGACCTTAATATTGTTTTCTTCCTTTAAAATTTTCTGGAAGTATAGTTCATTGATTTTAGATTTTCTTCTTTTTTCAGTATGAGCATTTAAAGTTATAAATTTTCTTCCTGGCTAGTGTAGCTCAGTGGATTGAGCACTGGGTTGCAGGTTTGATTCCCTTTCAGGGCACATAGTTGGGTTGCTGGCAAGGTCCCCAGTTGGGGGCCTGTGAGAGGCAACCAGCTGATGTTTCTCTCACACATAATGTTTCTCTCCCTCTTTTTCCCCCTCCTTTCCCCTCTCACTAAATATAAATAAATAAAGTCTTTTAAAAAATAAAGTTATTAATTTTCCACTAGCACTGCTTTAGCTGTATCCTACAAATTTTGATGTTCCATTTTCATTTGATTTAAATATCTTGTGACTTATTTGTTGACCATGGGTTACTTAGGATGTGTGTTTCATTTTTTTGAGTATTGGCTTTTTTAAAGATACCTTGCTGTTACTGATTTCTGATGTAATTCCACTGTGGTCAGAGAATGTACTCTGTAGGATTTTAGGCTTTTAAAATTTGTTGAGACTTATGGCCCAGCATGTGATCTGTCTTGGTGAATGTTTCATATGCACTTGAAAATAATGTGTATTCTGCCATTGTTGTTTATCTGTTCTGTGTCTATTAATTAGGTCAAGGTGGTTGATGGTATTTTTCTGATATGTATCTCCATTGATTTTGTTTTTTTGTTTAGTTCTATTAATTACCAAGAGGAGTGTTAAAAATATCTTAACCGTGATTGTGTATTTGTCTGTTTCTCCTTTTATTACTGTCATCAGTTTTGCTTCGTGTATTTTGAACCGACAACCCTTTGGTTTGCAGGCCAGTGCTCAATCCACTGAGCCACACCAGCCATTGCTTCGTGTATTTTGAAGTTCTGTTTTTAGGTGCATACACATTTATGATTGTTATGTTCTCCTGGTGAATTGCCCCCTTTGTAATATGAAATATCACTTTGTCTTTGATAATAGAATTTGACTTGAAGTCTCCTTTGTGTTATTAGTACAGGTATTCCAGCTTTCTTTTACTTACTGTATGCATGGCATATCAAACACTTTCTGTCAATATAAGTGTGTCTTTAAATTCTAAGTGTGTCTCTTTTTTTTTTAAAGATTTTATTATTTATGCTTAGAGAGAGGGGAAGGGAGGAGAAAGGGAGAGAAACATCAATGTATGAGAGAAACTTCAGTTGGTTGCCCCTTGCACACGGCCCTACCGGAGATTGGCTGGCAACCCAGGCTCCTGCCTTGACCTTGACCAGAAATCATACCAGCGCCCTTTTGCTTTGCGGGACAATGCCCAACCAACTGAGCCACACCAGTCAGGGCTATGTGTGTCTTTTGCATATAGTTAGGTTTTGCTTTTAACTGCAGTGTTTAATCTACTTACATGAAGTGTAATTATTGATATGGTTGCTTTTAGGTCTACTGTTTGCTCTTTATTTTCAGTTCATCCTCTTTGTGTTTTATTCTTCCTTTCCTAATTTTTTAGGTTAATTGATTTTCTTTTTAGAATTCCATTTTAATCTATTAGCTTTTAGCTATAATTCTTAGCATTTGTATTAGAGGATACCACAGGGATTTTTTTTTTTATATATATATGTATACACACATATACATATATACATATATGTGTCACAATTTAATATTGAACCACTTTTTGTTAAATGTATAGTTCCGTTAATTCCCCCTCTGCCTTTACTCTCTAGTTGTCACATGAATGATATCAACATATGTTATAAAATCCACAGTACAGTATTACAATTTTTGCTGTAAGCAATTACACATTTTAAGGAAGACAAAAGAAGTAATCTTATTTACCTATTTACTATTTTCGGTGTTCTTCATTTTTTCCTGAAGATTTCCTTTAGTTTTTCTTGTAATACAGGTTTCCTGGTGACAGCCTTTCTTGGTTTCTGTTTATCTGAACCTAGGCTTTTTGAAAATACAGTCTTTTTTTCCCCATCACCTTATATTCCCCTTATACCCTCCTCTCCCCACAGTCGCCACACTGTTGTCCCTGTCCATGATTATTTTTCCTTTTTGCTTGATTCCTCTACTCCCTAACCCCCGCCCCCATACCTGTCATCCTGCTCTCTTATCTACAAGTGGGGGATCCAAAAAAGCCTGAAATTTATTTATAAAAAATTGTGTATTTATTCTTAAATGTTTAAACTTCAGTCACCTTCAGAGTACTCTCCATTTGATGCAGTACACCTATTGAGATTTTTTTTCTACTGCTCAAAACAGTTTTTGAACTTGTTGATTTTGTTGCCATTTAGTGCTTCTACCATTTTTTTGTTTTACCTTTTTCATGTCATCAAAATGTTTCCCTTTGAAGACTTTTTTCATCCAGGGAAACAAAAGATGTCACTTGGGGTGAGATCGGGTGAATAGGGAGGGTGGGGCATGGGAGTCATGCCATTTTTGGTGAAAAACTGCTGAGCACTCAGTGTGGTGGGGGCAAGTGTGCTGGTAAACCACCCATCATGAAATGGGCAAACATGTTGAGTCTTCAAAAAAAATTCACTGCAGCTGAACACAGCCTCTCACAACAATGCCAGCTAGAACACTGATACAGATGGGTTCCTAGAACCCTCAGCTAGCTGGGGAAGTCTGTACTACAAGGGGCCCACCCTCCAGAAGACAGTTCTGTTCTTTTTTTTGGTCTCCCTCCCCTGCCCACGTAAGAGTCTGTCTCTATTTTGCTTATTAGGAACATGGTTTTAACTTTCACTCTTGAAGGATATTTTCACTGGATATAGGATTGTGGGTTTACAGGTTTTTTTCTTTTAAGTACTCTAAAGATGTTATTAATTGTCCTGTGGCCTCTATTATTTCTAAAGGGCAGTTAGTGATCATTTATATCATTGTTTCCTTGTTTGTAATGTGTTGTTTTCTTTTTGGCTACTTTCAAGAATTTTCTCTTTTATCTTTGGTTTTCAGCAGTTTGACTATGATGTGTTTAGGTTTGATTTTTGTATTTAACCTGCTTGACTTTCAGCTGAGCTTTAATATGAAAATTGGCATCTCATCAAATGTCAGCCATTATTTCTGTGAATATTTTTTCTGTGCCATTCTCCGTCTTCGAGTTTGGGGATTTACATTAGACCTTTGTAGATATGTTATGTTAGACCTTTTGCTATTGTGCCACAGGTCATTGGGACTCTGTTCACTTTTTTGTTTTTTTCAGTCTTTTTCCATTCTTTTTCAGATTGAATAATTTCTTTTGATCTGTTTCCAAAGTTTTACTTCTCTCAACTTTAATCTGCTATTAAGCTCATCCCCCGAGTTTTTTATTTTGATACTGTTTAGTTCTAGAATTCCTACTTGGAATTTTTTTTCTATATTCTCTGCTGAGATATATTCAGGCTGTTTATTCATTACGGACATTTTTAGATTGAACAATTTCTTTTGATGTTTGCATCAAAACAAACAGATGTTTGCAGAATCTTGTGAACTTGCTAAGTACGTACCAGGCCAAAATCAGTTACACGTAGCACCTGCCTAGGTCATCTTAACTTGGGAGACATGGCATTTAGGCTCAATATTGAGGGATGAATAGCACCATCCCACAACTAACAGATGAGACTAGGTATTCTAGCAAAAGAAACAACATGAGGAAAAGTGTAGCACATCTCCTATTAGGCTATTTCAAATGGAGAGAAAGTAGTCAATCAAATAGTTCATATTCTATATTTTGATACTATATATTTGTGACTTTTTTAAATATTAGCTATCATGAAATTTATATATTTATATCCTCTTTTGTGTTATACTTAAATATAAATCTAATTTATATATTTACCAATGAAAGAAGATTTGAAATTCTTTGCCTTTCTTTGGGAAAGGCGAATTCCAAATATTAAGAGTTATGTAAATTATAGATAATAAATTTTACATTGTTAAAAGGTTAATAACATTTAAACAGTTGTTTTTAAAGATTTTATTTATTTTTAGAGAGTGGGAAAGGGAGGGAGAAAAGAGAGGAGAGAAACATTGATGTGCAAGATACATTGATCAGTTGCCCCCCCCCACATATGACCCCAACTGGGGACCTGGTCCACAGCCCAGGCATGTGCCCTTCCTGGGACTTGAACCACTGACCTTTCAGTTTGCAGGCTGGTGCTCAGCACTGAGCACAGCAGCCAGGGCTAAACAGTTTTATTTTTAATGTGACTATATGTAACACTTTTACACAATATCTGTATGTCTATAGAATTGTATACTTATTTTTGTATAATTTCAATTTTGAAGAGAGGGGTAGATCTTCTCCTCCTCGTCCTCCGCTTTCTCGTCCTTCTCCTTCCTCCCCTTCCCTCTTCTCCCCTTCCCCTTCCCCTCCTCCTCCTTTCTTGACCAGATGCCACCTAGTTAACATAAATGCTGTAGCAGAATGGTCCTTTGAAAATAGTGAACTTAAAGTACTTAGGTGTTTCACTCCTGGATCATCTGTGGTTCCATTAGGTTAGGCTTTGGTCCCCCTGGGTCAGAGTGTTGTACCTCAGTCTTGTGGGTGCAAAGGATCTCCCTATTCCTGCTGAGCCTGCCCTCAGTGGCAGGGATCCTTTCCTTCCAGCCTGCTTTTCTGTCACTTGGGAGAAATTATTAGAGTTGATGTACAAATAAGGTGGAAATTTTATCTCAGAATTTAGTTGTCTGTTTTGGCAGAGAGAGCTCTAGATGACAGCTACA